AACTTTTTATTTTGTTCCTATTTTTGTTCATGAAATTGTGCTTGTGATTCCAAGCTGATTCATGATGAATTGCGCCTCAAAAAGCTCAAGTCCAGTAGGTCTGAAGGCTATTTAAAGAAGACCTAATCCTAATGTAACGAGGGTTTTTTCTTGTGTAAAATAAGGGGAGGTTTTGTAGTGTTAGGTTTGAGAATCTCTCGTGTGTAACTTTGTAAGTCACCCTTTGTATCGTTTGATACACTGTGGTAGACATATTGTGTGTTGTATATTGTTCTCTCTCTAGAACTTTTAAGCAAATGAGTTGAATATTGTTCTTGGTTGAAGTTGTGAAGCAAAACCGAGTATTGTTCTTGGTCAAAAGTCTTGACCTAGTATTGTAGTAGAAAGAGGGTACATCTTTCTTTTTGATTTCTCGTGGCACGATCATTGTGATTATGAATGCTTGTTGGGAAGTGAGAGGGGGATCTCATATCTAGATGGCGATTTCTAGGTAGAAGTAGCACAAGATGGTGATTAGGCGAGAAGTTGTAAACGTTCAAGTTTAACTTTGAACTGATGTTATCATAGTGGATTTCCCTCCTGGCTTGGATGCCCCTAGATGTAGGTGAGTTGCACTGAATTGGGTTAACAATTCAGCGTGTTATTTATCATTCTTCAATTTACAATTTCTGCATAATTAAAGATTAATAATATTGTTTCTGTCAGACTTATGTTACAACATCTATCTTGACATAGTACTGTGATGTTGGAACATCATAATCTCCATCACGTGTACCATGTGCCAGAAAATTTCACGTAGTATCATATTACTCTATTGTGCCCCCCCCCCCCCCTTTTTTTTTTCTTTTTTCTTCTTTTTTTCTTTTATCTTTTTATTTATTTTATTAATTTTTTTAATTAAATAAATAAATAGATGATAAATAAAATTGAATATTTTCAATAATTAAAAACCCTTGATCCAACGTCAATTGGTATTTTTAAAATCCGTTTTTTCAATAATTAAAAACCCTTGATCCAATGTCAATTGGTATTTTTAAAATCCATTTTTCAATCGATTTTGAATTAACCCCAGTCAAACCTTTATTTGCATCAAATGTATTTTCTAAGCCAAAATAAAATACTTAATCATTATGAATACGTTTTCATAAAAAGGATGAAAGAGGAATGATCTAGTGTATACTATTTTATTCCCCGAAGACTTGGATTTAAGGTGTATGGATCGACCATTTGAGTATTTGTCTTCCCCAAATGTTTGGATACGAATTGTCAAGCTTGACCATTTGAGCAATCGTTACCCACTCAAAAACAAATTCCATCACATCAAACCTACTTTTTTTTCTCACCCTCGCATGATTAAAAACCTTGTAGCACTACCAAAAATAATACCTTTTATGACGAAAGTTTCACCTAGAACATGCCAAAGATCAAGCTTGTAGGTCCTGGGAGCGACATGTTTGATTAAAAAAAACTTTTTCCTATAAAACTGAGGTAATACATTAATAAGTGAGCGTCAAATCTTCTAAAAAATAATACTACTAAACCTAATACCTCAGTGTTTTTAAAAATCGATGTAACATAGCTATTAGGAAACACACTTCGAATCCCAATAACAACGTTTAAGATTTTTTCCAGTTATTTCTCACTTGTCACCTTCCAATCTTCCGTTTTTTCTTAGTTCATTTTTTCTTCATTTTTTTGATTAATTGGTAATTCTAATTAGTAATTCTCATTTTTTTTATTATCAATAAAAATGAATAGGCAATAATACGAAAGGAAATATTTCATTGATTAAAAACGGGACAACAAATAAATATTCCACAAACTCAAATTTCCGACTCCACTCAACTTCAATAGTATCACTATTAACTATCCCTAACTTAGAGAAAAGCTTAGAAAGAACTCTTCCATATGGTATGAGGAAGACCATTTCATCCCTAGAGATGTTTATTATTTCCTTTAAGAAATTAAAAATGGTAAGAGGAAGATTAGCTATGATGTTCTTGGTAAGGAATAACAATAGATGCTTGTCAATCCTAGTAAGCGTTTTCGGTTCTTTCTCTCTTGGACGGAGATTTGACACTAGAAGTTGATACAAAACTTTTCCAATTGGTCGTAGACAAGCAGGACTGCTGAGATTATCGTTGGTTGCATAATTTATGCGAAGGTGATCTTTAAAGACATTGTTGAATCTATAATGTTCAATACAAACACCTTCCTCTTCACATTTTATTGTCTAAAGAATAAGTGACTGAGTAATTGTGAGAGGAAATCCATTGACATAGAACTGGATTAACTCAGCATCATAACCAGATGGCCCAACAGAGACATTTAATTAGAAATATTTAACGAGATTATTGTAGATGGATTTCTTAGGAATGTCAAAGTAACCGTTCAACTTTTGTTTGTGAATAGTTGTCCTTAGATCAAAACCTTTATCTTTCAAATCATCGAAATCGACAAACTTTTCATTGATTACGAACAAAAGATTTTCATTTAAGGTTGTTGAAGATATTTTTGAAGAAAAGAAAAGATTTTGAAATTAGGTTTGAAGACACAGAGTTGGAAATGAGACGTTGAGACAATGAACAGTATTTAAATAAAGTGGAGAATAGGAAGTGAAACAATCAGAGAAGCTCAAATGCCTTGAAAATCCAAAAGATACGTTACATTTTTTAATATGAATGATCATTGTTATTCTACCGGGTATGATTCCACTGTGCGCCATGATTTATATTTTTTAGAAGTAGAAATCACATATTACCTCGGTTATTCAAAAACTTCGAGAGGAAAAACAATTCAGAAAACTATTTTTATTTATTATAATTTTTTTAAAACTAAATGATATAACCCGTCGGTTTCCTTAATAACTGAGGTATAAGATACATAACATTTTACTATAAAAGAACTCGTTAAACACATTCTACTCTAATCCTAACTTATGTATAACAGTCTTAAACTCGTAAGAAGTAGAAATCAAATCATTCTTTTGGGATCCATCTCACAAAATGGTGTTGATGTTTTTGTTGTTGTATTTAAAAGCTTGTAAAAGTTCTCTATGATGGTTTGCAAGTGCATAAACACATTTTTTCAATAGAAGTTAGATGCATTCAATGGTTGGACCAGATAACTCTTTAGAATTGGATGCGTGCAATATTTGGGTCAAATAACTTCTTACACTAACATTTTGGTTTTGATGTATTATTTTTTTTCAATATTCTATGTAAACAATGTAATTACAAAAAATAATATTCGCCTCGGTTTTTATAGAAACCGAGGGGATAACTTAGTGTTCTCAAATCCTTGTCATTCATTTCATAATTATCAACGCTCAAGAAACTCCCATTAGTGATTATACCTAAAAAAATTTCATTATAAAGGCTTAGTGATGTCTAAAATGATAAAGAAACGTCATGAAGCGATTGATCCTATCTATATTCTCCACTTTAACTTTTGCCATTAGCGATGGATTGCAAGTGTAGAAAATTATTTAGATTTAAGGTTTGTGTTTTTAAATATTCATTTGAGCAGAAAATCATTTATTTTTATATCCTTTTTTTCTAACCCTTTTATTGTTTTATATCAGAAACAAATACTTGTAAGGTGAAGCATTTGACCTTGCCCAGATATTAAGGAGTTGAAAATCTAACATATGATCTTCAGGGATAAATTAATTTTCATTTTAATATTCTGTGTAAACAATGTAATATTTTGTGTAAACATTTTAGTTTGTAAACAAAGTATTTTTATTTATTTTCTGTATAAACAATGTAATATTCTGGGTAAACATTTAAGTTTGTAAACAATTTATTTTTTATTTATTTTCTGTGTAAACAATGTAACGAAATTCTAATAAAAAGCAATCTAACTTACCCATCGGTTTTTCGTAAACCGAGATGTATGAGGCGCTAGTTTTGTAAATAATAAAAATACATATGTCATAGTTCGAACATGTGCAAGTTAATTTACCCCTTGGCGTTTAAATAACCAAGGTTATAAGCCTTTATTTTTCATGACAACATTCATTACCTCGCTACTGCAGCCGAGGTAAAATGCATTTCCCGTGCGACATTAAAACCATTTTTCTAGTAGTGTAGTATTTCTACCGCGATACAAACAAGCGTTTAAAGTCTTCAATTGCAAGCATAAGCAACATTTAACCGCTAGAACACGATCTAAACATTTGTTCAATAAAATCGACCAACCAATACGTAGTTTTATACAAAGAACTAGGTTGCTCTGAATTCCTCAACTCACCTAAGAATAAATAGGATCAAGACCCACAATCTTGTCAAACACCTTAATAAAACCCTTTTTGCGACCATTTTTTTCTTACTTTTATAGTTTTAATCACTCGAAGAAAACAAATAACATATGCTAACATTATATTCACAAATCTAACTAAATGGTTCCCGTTGAGTACAATGGATATGAGAGATGCTAATATCTTCCCCTCGTATAATCGGCTCCCGAACCCGAATATGGTTGTGATGGTCATTTTCTTTTTCTTTGAGGGTTTTATCGATATTTTCTCTTTCCTTCTTTAAAATAAATAAAGTTTGATGGAGGCTATATTTAATCATCCACGAGTTTGTGATGCGCTCGTAGGTCGTATTTTTTTGCGATACAACAAATGCAATTGAGGTAATGGAGCTACTTAGGGATATAATCTCAACAATAAACTTAACTAAAACCGGAATAAAATGCAATATAAGTAATCATATATAGATGAAACCTTGTGGAAGAAAGTTAGTGAAGCTAGATACGTTGATTGTGAAGAATTGATGTTATTGAGTGGTCGTTGTAGAGCTAATGTATTAGCCTCTTTTTGGTAGAAGGACTTGACGAAGATCAGAGCGATTTATACTAATGCGAGTTTTGATTTTAAAGGTAATGTGAGTTATAAATTTGGTGACGAAAAACAAGTGTGCTTCTGGTTATCAAATTGGTGCGGCGATTTTAAATTAGTTGATTCTTACCCGAACTTAGTCGCTGCCAGCAACATGAAATTCGCGGTGTTTGGTTGGTTTCAGTTTGGAGTATGGGAGGCTGTGGAATTCATTGTTTGGATGAGACTTCTAACAGTGGTGATTTTGTTGAGCTACATAATTTGTTGGATGGACATTCCCCTGTTTTGGACTGTGAAGGCCAATTATGCTAGGGGGTCTAGGTTGTTCGGTATGGCTGAGGCTGGTCCTGGGCAGGATGGCAACAATGTTATTTCTATGAAAAATTCTTACAATGTTAGGAACGGGTACATTGGGTACATGGAAGCAACTCTTCCAGTTAGTTTTGAAGCTGATAAGAATAAGACAATTAATATTGTGTGTAATTCTCTGATCCCTTCTAAAATAAGAGCCTTCAGTTGGATATTATTTTTGGAGAGGTTGGCAACAAAATACCAAATATTAAAAAGAGGAATTCGGTTAGAGCATGTTGATGGTGTTTGTGTTCTGTGTAATAGGGACGACAAGGACCATAATCATTTGTTTTTCGATTGTCCAGTTGCTAGTTAAGTTTGATATCAAATCAGGAATTGGATTGGTTATAAAATTAATGCTTATGGACCAGCTTGGACATTCTAATTAAGATGAAATAAATTCTTTAAAAGCATGGCAGGAAAAGTTAAATTAGACATCATTTAGATGACCGTAGTTTGGGGGCTGTGGAAATCGAGAAATGATATTATCTTCAACAATGATAAATGTGGCTTGAACAATATCGTGTGGCTAGTTAAGTTTTTGGTTTGGAAATGGTTGGTAGTTGGGGATATTCCGTATTCCAACATTGATTACTTAGAGTTGTGTATGAATCATTTGGTTTGTTTAGATAAGTAGTTGTCGTTAGTGGAAAATTTCCCTTGTTTCTCTTGTATTATTTTGGGTTTAAACACCCCTAGTGCTCCCTATTGAATTGGTGTTTTTAAAAAAATCAACAACAAATTTAGTCAAACACCAAATACTATAAAATTGAGAATCAACTAGCTGATTTTCTAACAAAAATGTTAAAGATGAAAAAAGTTTGAAGAGTTGAAGATTAAGATAGAAATATGGTCTTTATCTAGTATAAATTAGATGGTGTGTGAATTGTAATTCAAATTCTTAATAAAAACACTTACAAAGTTAGTTAATTTTATAAGTTTGTCAGCAATCAAAAGGTAACTTGTTGGACAAGTTAGTTATAAGAACAAAACTATAAATGTATATGTTGTTATATGATGAACATTATTGAAATATTCCATTTTAATTGATTCTTTAAATTACAAGATTAACTCTTTTAATTAATTACAAGAACAAAGATTGTTCCGACAATCACTCTATGCATAAAGTAAATTTCATCAATAAAACTGTTGAATGTTTTTATTACTTTAATGATCAATAAAATTTCATCAATAAAACTGTTTAATACTAAAACTAATCCTTGAATATCAAGTAGACCGGATACTGATATATATACTCTTAAAGGACCGTATTTAAAATAATAATAATGGTTTGAAGATATTTGTGCCTCACAAATCTTATTACGGCCACTAGTGAGTTTGTGATTGTGGGGAATCCACAAAAAACGCGTTAGTGGCCAGCACGTTATATGTTTGAAATTGAAACGAAGAAAAAGCAATACTCTTATTTTTCCTTTACTTTCTTTTCCATTCTTTCCACCTTCTCAACCCTAAAAGCCTATCATCTTTTATATTTATATATCCCCATAATGACTCTTCATGCCCCCACCACGTTTCATTCAAGCAACAATTTCACATATGTACATTGGAAAAACCAAACAATTGCAAGTACATAAACAATTTTTAAATAAATGATTAATAGTGGGTTCATCTTTTAATGGCTTACATATCTAAAACTAGCGATGGTATTTGCCTCCTCTAACATAACATATTAACATATCAACTCTCTACTTTTGCACCTTTTCCAACCATTGTTTAAAAAGTATATAATTGCTTTTTTTTAAAGTGATTTTGATGCATGCTGGCCCATACCTTCTACATATGTAAGCTTTAGTCTTCTTTTTCAATAAAATTGATAATGACTAGCTTATGCCTTTATGTTTCTACGGGACCATATTCATGGAGAAAAGCTTACTCGATGTGTTTCATTTTCCAACTCGTAAGTCCTTCAGGGTTTTGTCTCTCTGTCTATATTTTCCACTTTCAAACATAATCCTCGTTCCTGTTCCGACAATAATAGAATAATTTCATTTTGTTAATTTAATAATAAAAGTTTGAGCAATACTTTTACTTTTTATTTGTGTGTGTGTGTGGTGGGGTGGGGTGGGAGGTGGAACCTGGAGAGTGTTGTTGCAATTTTTGGTCTAACAATTGAAATTGAAAGTAAATTGAAATGTGACATCTACTCATTTTGGACATGTCGTTGTTACTTTTTGACTGTCATTGATGAGGAGAACCCACGCCAGATCAAGGGCCATTATTACTAGGATAACAACCCATTAGCTACCTAACTAGGCCCACTATCAGGCCTTTCTACACTGAAGTAGGCAATGAGAATTTCTTATAGCATCTTTAATATTTCTAACATATCATAGGAAATTTTATAAATATTTTTTGAGATATATTTTCAGACGCACTCGAACGTAAGTGAAAGTTAAAATATTTTGAAAATATATCTCCGAAATATTTTGGAGCATAAGTCGCGTCAAACTCTTCTCCTTCCTCATTTCACAGTTTCTTCAAACACAACTTCAACACTCTTCTCAATACACCCCTACACTAAATCAAATTTCATCAAACAAGGGTCAAAAGAACTCAAAGGAACATCAAAGATCATCTCTAATATTGGAAACAACGTCTGAATCATCAATTTCAAGTATGTTTTTTGAGTTTTCGGTAAATGTTCGAGTTTTAGTGTAAACGAGTAAGAATCAATGTTTAGGGTTAGAAATGTGTAGAAATCACATGTAACATAATTTAGACTTAGTGTATAATTTGTTGGTTGGTTGAAAGTGGTGATTAGATCATGTTTCTTTCAACTTGCACGAGGTACATTCACCATTGACGCGACCTCTGTGTTGTAGAACATTCTGGAGAGACATCTCTGAAATTGTTCAGCGTTTCGTATACTTTAGGGAATTTCGGAGATGCATCTCCGGAATCGTTCAACATTTTAGTTTAATGGTGTTTCCGGAGATGCATTTCTGAAATTGCTCAACGTTAAAGTTTTATGGTGTTTTCAAATATGCATCTCCTGAATTTCATGCAGTATATATTTTTTATAATTTTCTTGCTTGTGTGTGTTATTTGTGTGCACTAATGATATGCCTTACTTTACCTTACAGGCATAATGGCTGGCAGAGTTGACAAACTGAGACATGACAAGGTTGCTTAGCACGCATTCGTTTGGCGGGAGTGGAGTCAGCAGGTTTCGGAGGCTCCAGGTACCTCTGGTCAGACAGAGTCGTCTACTTCTAGGGTGTCGTCTACTCTTGGGACTCATGCTTCACCTTAGGCCACTCCACCTTCTTCTTCTTCTTCCCGTAGGAGATGAGATTCACCATCTGATGTGTCATTTCCCTATCCTCCCGCAGGTGTCACGATTCCCCGGTGTCATCTCCTACGAATGATGTTGTTGTTCCAGACCTACCTCCCATTGTTGATTCAGTGCCACCACCAAAGGGTGAGGTTGTTACGGATTCCGAGGCAAAGGGTTTTGGAGGAGGTCCATATAATTTGTCCTTACTTCTTTTGTATTCAGACCACACAGCCAGACATATTTGGAACAGAGAGGTAGCATTAATTGGATTATTTACTTTTTATGCGTTAATTTTAATTGCTAACATTGATAATTTCTGACATTACTTATTTCTGTATGAATAATCAATTGAAGAAACATCAAGTTCATCAATCGGGGATTCATGTAGACATGCTTGTAAAGATTTGTTCAAAATTTCATCGAGATTCTCATGAAGTATTTTAGCAAAGATCATCAAAGAAATATGATAAAGAATAATATGTTTTCTCTAAAGTTATCTATGAAGAAGATGACAATGAGGTAACCACTTTTTTATACATAAAATGTTTAAATCAAGTGTTAAGCTTAATAAAAAAATTGAGAAGTTAGAAAGAAACATTGTAGATTTTAAAGATCATATTACATTTTTTGAAAGAAGTAATAAAATGCTTGCAATTAAATTAGATAACTGTATAAGGCAATCTAGAAAATGTGAAACACGTGATTCCTTGAAAAATAAAGTCAATAGTTTGCATGACACCTTATGTGAATTCACTAAGGAAAAACAAAAATTTAGATTTAATTCTATATAATCAAATGGATTCATATAATAAAAGTGGAATAGGATATCAACCTAATAAATCGTTCATAAGTATTTGTCGTGAAAAGAAAAAGACAAATAGATATATGTTTAAATGCAATTATTGTTGTAAGCTTGTTCTGAACCCTTTTGTTTTTTTAAATTGCATGACTTAAGATGCTTTAATGGTTGTGACTCAAGACATTATGAAACTACTAACACACAAGGATCCAAAAAAGACTTATGTATCAAAAACAAAAACTTAATTAAGAGGAAAAATGTCAATTAAAAAAAAGTTGTGAAAAACATGAGTTTGAATATTCCACCAAGATATATATGGTCATGATAGCTAAGAAATTCTTTAGAAGTATTTGGATAAAAGGTTCTCAGACTCTGTTTGCTTTAGAAGTATTTTGATAAAAGATTCTTAGAGTCTGTTTGGTAAAACCAAAAAAAGAGTTTTTAACTTTTCAGCTCATTTTAATTAAAAAACTTTGTTTGATAACTGCCTTTTAACTTTTAGCTTATAGCTTTTTAACTAGCTCTTAATTTTTTTTCAAAAGTTATTTAAAGTAGCTTTAGAGCTTGTAGTTTTTAGCTTATTACTTTTTATTTCAATTATACCCTTATATATATATATATATATATATATATATATATATATATATATATATATATATATATATATATATATATATATATATATATATATATATATATATATATATATATATATATATATATATATATATATATATATATATATATATATATATATATATATATATATATATATATATATATATATATATATATATAAAATCGATTTTAAAAAATTGAATTTAGGGAGATTTTGAAGAATGTTATACAAGATTTTTTTATTTTTCTCTTACATTATTAGATATTATTTTTATTTATTAAATATAAATTATATAATTAATTTAGAAATAGTCTTAATAATTCTCAAGTTAGGAGAATCAATGAAATCATCGAAGGTGAAGAAAATTCACAATATTATCACAGTTTTATTGTAAAATATTAGACAATAAATTTATTTTTGTTATTATTTTAGATTAATATATCTAAATATTAGACAGTAAAATATTAGAAAAAAATTATATTTTACAAAAGAATGAATTAAACCGACCAAAAATTGTAGTTATTAGGATTACTTTTATTTTTATGTCCTCATAAATAGCTTTGTAAAATACCCCTACTTCATATATGGTTTACTGGTTCT